GGAAGGCTGAGGCGGAAGGATTGCTGGAACCCAGCAGGTCGAGGCTGCGGTGGCCGGAAGCGGCCACTGGACTACAGTCTGGGCGACAGGGTGAGACTCCAACTCAAAAACTAAAATAAAATAAAATAAAATAAAATCGTATTTATCTCTTTTCCTAGTCCCCAGCAGATAGCAACACACCAATGAAAGACATTAGAGAAGAAACAAGAAAATAATAAAATTACATACAAACACTAAAGAACAACAGTTTGAGACTACTTTGTGAATGATCAGAGTCTCAGAAATCCTGATGTGATGTGATGTGATGGGATGTAATGTAATATGCCTTAGAACTAGAAACATTTTTAGTGATGAACTTGAATCAACAGGCTGTACTCAGTTCTCTTACTCTGTTTTATTTTCCTTTATAACACTTAATCTCCACCTGACATTTTACTTATGAGGGGTCCCTCCAAAGATGATTGAAATTATCTTTTGAGGGCAGGCCCCCTGTAGTACAGACTCCCCCCGCTAAGTAGGTGTTTTAGGAATTCATACATATTAGTGTCCCAGCTAGTGTTGTTGCATGTCAGGATTTGTGTAAGAAACATATGGAGTTGTTGCAAAACATGTGACGAGTTGTTTCTTCCACCATGGCAGCATACCTGCCTTTCACTACGCTAAGTTTTAAGCAGTTTTGGACCAAAAACGTCATGACCCCTGTGCCTCACCCTCTTTTTTACCCGATCTTGACTTGAATGACTTTGTTTGTTTGTTTCTCCCATGAAAAATGTCCTCAAAAGGAAACGTTTTGCCAATGTGGAAGAGGTGAAACAAAAAATGGCAGAAGTACTAAAAGACATCACAATTGGAGAGTTCCAAAACTATTTTGAGCAGTGGAAGAAGTGTCTCAATAGGTGTAATGCAACAAACGGAGAGTAGTTTGAAGGTAACTGATTTTTAAACATGTAAGAATAAATACACAATTTTTTGATAAATAAATTCCACGGTTTTGTGGGTCCCCCTCATATTGGCATGTTTGTTATCTCTCACCTACTATGATATAAATTCAAGTTTATTTTCCTTTATAACAAGACAACTGCTTACTTTGTTCAATACAGTATCTCCAGCATCTCCAGTAATGCCTGGTTCTTAGCAGACTCTCAATAAATATACATTTAATGAATAAATAAATATATGCATACAGAAAGGTAAAGTGAGGTCAGTACAATTGACCCTTGAACAACATGGGTTTGAACTGCACAGGTTTACTTAGATGAGAATTTTCTTCCACTTTTGCCATTCCTGAAATATCAAGACCAACTCCTCCTCTTCCTCTTCAGCCTACTCAACATGAAGATGAAGAAGATGAAGATCCGTATGATGATCCAGTTCCACTTAATGAATAGTAAATACATTTTCTCTTCCTTATGGTTTTCATAACATTTTCTTTTCTCTAGCTTACTTTTGTAAGAAAAAAAAAAAAAAATAAATATATATATATATATATAAAATATAGGTTAATTGACTATTACCTGTAAGGCTTCTGGTCAGGAGTGGCTATTAGTAGTCATGCTGGAGAGTCAAGCATTATACTCAGATTTTCGGCTGATGGGTGGTCAGTGCCCCAGTGCCCATATTGTTCAAGGGTCAGTTGCTATAGTCCATTTAAGTTTACTTGACTATAAAGTGTTTTTATAATAGTTATTCAAAAAGATTAAAGTTACAAGTTTTAATACTTAAATGAGTAAGCTTCCTTTATCTAAAAAAATGTTGTGGGGTATCTTTTTTCTCTATGATTTCCTGTAAATATGGCATTACTGCAGTAGAATGCAGTTGTCATCCAGGCAATCGCTCTTTCAGCAAGATCAAACTACAAATAATTGGTTTTGCTTTCTTTCATCTCACCGGAAACTGGAAAATGTCTTGAATTGCCGTAATACATAGTAACGTCTTCTTTCTGATAGCCATTCCAAAGCAGGTATGAGTTCTACTTCCTCTGTACCACCACTTGTTTTAATAACCTACAAGTATAAAGCCCCAAACCATCACTTTATTTCTTTAAAAAGATATACTATTTTTAAGAAATTAAGAAAGCCTGTATTTGACTCATAGCTTATGCTTTTATAATTAAGCTTTTTCTATATCTGCACCCTCAGTCCTTTCATCGACACAAATTTTCTTTCCCTTAACACACTCCTTCCATACTTGCCATTCTCTAATGCTATTTCTTGTGCTCCAACAGAAGAAAAACTTCCTACTCACCCTAAGATACTTTCACAAATAACTGTTCAAATTGTGAATCTTACAACACTTACATTTTCTCTAAAAGTAGTATTTATAAACCTAATTTTAGCTACAGAGACGTGGTAGTCCAGACACTCCATTATGACACTCAAAAACCACATGAGCTTCATCAAGAAATTTGTTCTCTTCCCAAAAGCCCCTCTCCCCTAGCTGAGTGTTAACATTTTTTTCTTCCAGAGATAAGGGCTTGGGGGCTCAGCCTGTAATCCCGCACCTTTGGGAGGCTGAGGTGAATGGATTGCCTGAGCCCAAGGGTTCGAGACCCGCCTGGGCAGCAAGACCTCATCTCTACAATAACTCAAAAAAATCAGCCGGGCGTGGTAGCGCGCGCCTGTAATTCTGGCTACTCGGAAGGCTGAGGCGGAAGGATCGCTGGAGCCCAGCAGGCGAGGCTGCGGTGGCCGGGAGCGGCCACTGCACTCCAGTCTGGGTGACAGAGTGAGACTCCAACTCAAAAAAAAAAAAAAAAAGTACACCTGTATCAGCTCATATGTATTTACGAATATATTTTTCTTTATACAGAAGTTATTCCTCCATTCTCAGTTGATATTGCATATTAGGGATATTTCCATATCTGCACATTACAGACCTAGTTTGTACAGATATGGTCCTGCCTGTGCATACGTAGAGTATATTTTAGTTGGGAGGCTGGGAAGGTACACAAGAGCAGACAACCATTAAACAAATGATCAAAACAGGTAAGTGTGTAATTTCAACTTGTAATAAGTATTAAAGAGCCATATAGGAGTATAAAAGGGGGATTTCTATATCTGGCAATGAGGTTTCTGAAAAATGTGCCAGTAGATAGGTTTCTTTTCTTATAATTCTTATTATGCCAGTAAATGTTTGTTTCCTAGTTCTTCCTTTAAAAAATTACATCAAATATTAATAAGATATTTGAAAGATGAAAAAATTTCTCAAAATTGAATCCTCAAACCTAAATTTTTACAAAAAAGAAAAATGTCACTATTAAATAACCTTTTTCCAAGGAGATTCTTATACATAAACTACACCCCAAATGACCAAGTATCTTTGATACACAAAGATAAATTTATGCAACTAAAGTCTAAATCGGATAATATCTTTGTATTATAATTCTGAAAGCTGAAAACATCTATTAAGTATTACCTTTGAAAAAAATGAAGCACTAATAACCCAAAATTCTTTGCATCGTCTGGCTTTATGGGCAGAGACTACCTGAAGATCATATGGATTGAAAAGGGATTTAGGATCATACCGAGGAAGGCAATATACAAATTCTCCATCATCTTTCAAAGGTTCCTGAGATTTAAAAAAATTTAGTTAATTTGATTAAATTAACTAACAAAATAAAATTAACAGATTTTGTATTTGTATTTAAATTGAAACAATTTAAATACAAATTAAAAGTAAGAATAATATCACTGGGTGACAGAGTGAGATCCTGTCTCTAAATAAATAAATAACCAACAAAAATAAAAGACCACTTTTCTTCATGGTAACAGTCTAGAGCAGGGATCAGCAAACTACAGCCAGGGCCAGGTGCCTGTTTTTGTAAATAAAATTTTATTGGCACACAGTCACATGTATTTGTTTATGTGTTTTCCGTCAATGCTTTTGCATTACAATGGCATAGTTGAATAGTTTTAGGGATCACATGACCAGCACAATGTAAAATGTTTATTATCTGGCCCTCTTCAGAAAAAGTTTACTGATCCCTGATTGGAAGCATTGGTTCTTAATTGTGCATCAGGATCACCTGGAGAGCTTAATAAATTACAGATTGCTGGGCTCCATCCTCAGAGTTTCTGACTCAGTGAGTCTAGGGTGCAGATGAGAATGTATTTTGAATAAGTTCTAAGGTGTTTCCACTGCTGCTTGCCTGGGGACCTTGCTTTGAGAATTCCTGATCCAAAAGTAGGAAGAGATTATTCTGTTCAATCTTAGATGAACCATAACTAATGAGGTCTCAGGACACAGACCTTACTTCTCATCACAGCTCCTTCCCTCTGGGCCATGTGACTTTGGGCAAACTAAAATTTCTCTGAAAAAAGAAGCTAATGGATAAGGAGAAAATGAAAAGCATAAGGAAATACAGAGTGGATGAGACAGAAAATCAAGTGCCAGGGAGCTAGAGAGTAAGAAGGAGAGAATGTCACACGCAAAAAAACTGATATGCAGCAACAAGAGCAGATTCAAATTGAAGTGGATGATATCCCTTCTCTGGGACCTACTTAGATGTAGAAAGTAATGAGAGAGGCAGACATAAATATTTTGATGTGTTGTAGACTTAAAATTTATATACCTTACCCATTCTTCATACTTTAAATGAGTAAAATGAAATGATGTCAAACACTTTTGAATGCAAAAGTGAAATAATAATCAAAATTTAATATTAATGTGATATTTGATTTTTTGTAACCTCTTAAATGAACTAAATAAAAATTAAGATACAGTTTTAATATTGACTTTTAAAGATCAAAACTCAATAAAATAGAATAATACCTTTAGAATCATCTTCTGACTTTTGATTTGAGTACTTTTGTATTTCAAATTGTGCTGTGGTAATTCGATTTGCCAGCCAAACTTTTCTCTTAGCCTAATAATATGTCTTATCACATCATCATCTTTTGGTTCTGGTATAGAACATTTAAAAACAGTCCAATATAAGTGCAAATATGAGCATCATTTACAGATAATGCACAATACTCCAAATATTTCTACATAGAGAACAAAATTTAAATGGTAACATCCCTAAAGTTTACATAAAGACTATATAATTAGAGAAAAAATATAACTTAAAACTCAGTTTTAACAGAAGCTGAAAAGAAGGAACAATATTTATCCATTTAAGAAAGATATCACAATTACCTAATTGCATAATTACACAGGTAGCAGGTAAGAAAGAGACTAGAAACGGTAGGCAGTTATAAGGCTAAGGCTTTTTTTTTTTTTTTTTGAGTTGGAATCTCACTCTGTCGCCCAGATTGGAGTGCAGTGGCACAATCACAGTTCACTGCAGCCTCCACCTCCAGGACTCAGGTGATCCTTTCACCTCAGCCTTTTGAGTAGCTGGAACTACAGGCATGCCACCCCACACCTAATTTTTTAAATTTATTGGAAAGACAAGGTCTCCAAGTTGTCCAAGCTGGTGTCGACCCCCTGGGCTCAGGCACGCCTCTTGCCTCCACCTCCAAAAATGCTGGGATTACAGGCATGAGCTACCGCACCCAGTTCCAGGCTTTTCTTAAAAAATGCCTAAGCTGGGGTGGAGGCAGTAGGATCAGAAAAGTAGGAATGACAGTGTGAGAAGAAATATTCTTCCTGAGGATGAATGCATAGACATTTTTCAGACCATCTCTCTTAATCTTCTAGCTGGCAGCTAAAGAGTCTCTCCTTCATGAAAGTCTCTTCTCTTGGCTTTCATTCACCATGCTGTACAGATAGTCCTGATGGCTCTTAAGCTTCTTTTCTTGATAGAACAAATCATGGGAGGGGAAGTATACAAAAACCCATATTGGCAAAACCGGCAATCCTAAGAAGCTATATTTCTGTCCCTCCAGAAATTACAGACACCATCTGACTAAACCAGTTTGTTTGCTAAGGATTAAATGAGACTTGAGATCTTGTATAAAACAGTGTTATGACACTGCATGGCCCTAAGAGTGAGTTACTCTTTAAATTTTGTACCCTAGGCACCCCATTTGTCATCTTAGTCTGGGCCCTTCCAGTTGCTTAAACATAAAGATAAATTAAAAATACTTAATTGAAAAGAAAGTTAGCTAACAACGGGGATAATAGAGAGAAGGAGAAGTATTGAAAATTAGTATAGCCGGGCTCGGTGGCTCAGCCTGTAATCCCTCGCTTGGGGAGGCTGAGGTGAGTGGATTGCCTGAGCCCACGGGTTCGAGATCCACCTGGGCAATTTGGCAAGACCTCATCTCTACAGTAAATCAAAAATCAGCCGGGCATGGTAGTGCGTGCCTGTAGTTCCAGCTACTTGGAAGGCGGAGGCAGAAGGATCGCCAAAGCCCAGCTAGTCAAGGCTGCGATGGCCGGCAGCATGCTACTGCACTCCAGTCTGGGCGATGAAGTGAGACTCCAACTCAAAAAAAAAAAGAAAATTAGTATTAAGGAAACGGCACAAACTGTGTATATCTAGCAAGAGAATAAGTAACATTATAGACCCAGATATGAAAACATATACCTAAAGAAATCAAATACTTTGTTATTGACATAGAAAAGCAAAAGAATAAAATAGATCATAGTTTCAAAATATAACCACATATAAAAGACCACCTAATAAGTGAACAAGAAGATAATTCACATCAACAGAAGAATGAATGATTAACTATTCAATAAATCTTAATGAGAAAGTAGTTCACTCATTTGGGAACCAATGCAGTTATATGCAAGCATAAATTATCGATGGATTGGAGATGTAAATGTGTAAAAACAAATTATAGAAATAGTAGAAGAAAATATGGGAAAATAGTTTTATAAACATGGGGTAGCAAAGGCTTCCTGAAAAAGAATAAAAGTACATTAAAATGAAAATGATAAATCTGACTTGCTCAAACTTAGCAATTTATCCACAAGAAAAGTCGCCCCACACAAAATTAAAGTATAATTAACAATTGGAAAATGATGTTTATAACCTATGTAAGAGGTTAGAAATTAATACACTGATTATTTAAAGAATCCTTGCCAGTCAATAAGAAATAAACCTTTTGATAGAGAGATGCGCAAACAATTTACAGGAAAAGATGAGTGATCCATAAACATGAAGAAATGTTCAATCTTATTCATAATCAGAGAGTTGCAAATTAATTAAACAGCATTTCTCACTCAGACGGGCAAAAAAAAAAAAATTGGAGAATATCAACTTTGGCAAGGGTATTTCTCCATTTTGAGGGTGATTTGACAGATTTAATAGATGTGATATGCTTCATGAAGGAGGACATCTACAAAATGAGTGTGATGAAAACTGCTAGAAAATGGAGGCAATTTGAGGCATAAAAGACAAAGAATGATTTTTCAAAATAAGTGATAAAATTTAAGAAACACCTATCTTCCAAAAAGTTAAAAAGAAAATATTTTTCTAAAAAAGAGACTAATTCATGCCAGAACCATGAATGTCTACTAAAAAATGCCAATACGACATATACTTAACACTAGAAACGGATGCACATCCCTAGTTAGCTGGATATATGGTTGGATCCAAGATAGCAATTCTTTATCAATAAATACGGGGAGACTGGTGCACATCCCACTTTCACAACAAGTTAAGAAAACAGTTCCAAGGGCAAGGGCAAAAAATAGCAAAGTTCGAGCGGCAGACTTCCAGAGGAAAACCATGAAGAAAAGCAGCCAGCGAAACAAAAACTTATTTTGTCTATTTAGGCAATATCTTCTGATGTAGCCACAGTAAAGGTTCATCAGTGAATACTGAGGCTAGCCTTCCAGATCCCTTGCTTTATCCTCTTAGGGCCTTGAAGACGTGATCCCATAGGACAGAATTTTCAGCAGGAGAGAGTGACATCATGAAGACAGTGTTTTAGGAAGAATTCTGGCATCTAAGAGTAAAACTACATATCCATTTTCCGTGCATGAAATTAAAGACTTTGTTTTAAAAGCTTAAAATGGGATTTCTGCTGATTGAGAGCTTATCATATAATTGAGGATATTATTTTCATCATGTGAATGTGTCCTCATAATGAAAGATAATATATGAAACTGTCAAATGAGTGACACTGCTAGTAAGTGCTATGTTAATTTTAAAGAAAGAGATCACTTCAAACTAGGTTCAAGTTCAAAAATGGATCTTAAATAATATAAAGCTTTGGATAGGTGAAAAGAGGACCCTTTAGATTAAAAAATCACCTTAAAAGAAAGAGTAAAAGAATTCATTCCAAAGGCATGCACCAACATAAATGAATCTGGAAAAGACAACACATTGTAAAAGGATACAATACAATGAAATTTATGCATAACTTTAAACCTTGAAGTGTATATATATATATATACATATATATATATATACAGAAAAGTATCAAATTCAAAAGTATCATTCCAAGGTTTATAACACAGAATTTTCAGAAATTAACATACTCCTGTAATCAGCACATGAACCAAGAAAATAAAAAGCAATACTAGCTCTCTTGAAGTCTACCTTGAAACCTCTTCCAGTTACTATTCCCCCTTCACCCCATTCCCACAAAGGTAGTCACTATCCTGATTTCTAAGATTAGATATGAGTTTTGTCTATTTTTTACTTTATATAAGTGGAATCGCACAGTAAGTATTCTTCTCCACACCTGGCTTCTTTTGACCAACATTAATATGTGAGCTTCTGTAGACACAGTATAATGCCATACATATTAAAGGAAATTATTAGTTCTCTGTCGCTGTGTAAACTGTCATAAAATTTTGAGGTCTAAAATGATAAATACTTATTATTTCACAGCTTCTATGGATAGGAATTCAGAAGGGGCTTAGATAGGTGGTTCTGACTCTTTCTCATGAGATTGCAATCAAAATGTTGGAGAGGGCTGCAATCCTCTGAAGGTTTGACTGGGGCCGAAGGATCACTTTTCAGGATAGCTTACATGTGGCTGTTAGCAGGAGGCCTCAGTTTTTCACTCCACAGACCTTCCATAGGGCTGATTAAGCATTCTCAGAAAGTAACAGCTGGCTTCCCCAGAGATAGTGATCCAAGAGAGAAGGCAAGAGAAGAAGCTGCTATGCCTCTTAGGACTTAGTGTTAGAAGTCACACACTATCACTTTTACCATTCCCTATTTGTTAGAATTCAGTGCCATCACCCTCACCATATTACTTATCAGAACTGAGTCACTAAGTCTGCATCTCACTTAAGGGAAGCGAAGTGAATCTTCATATTTTGAAGGAAGGAGAGTCAAAGGATTTGTAGACAAATTTTTAAACTGCCACAATAGATATGTATAAATGTAGGAAAAAGTATAAAACCATAAATGAAACTGATAGTCGCCAATTTAAGGAGAGTTACTAACTGACCTTAATCGTGGCTTCTGGGAATGAGAACAGGGAAAGGGAAGGATGAGGAGTGGCTTTAGCTAGGCCTGTAGCATTTCACTTAAGTATTTATTTTTCATTGCTGTATAACAAATTACCACAAACTTACTATAAGTTTATTATCTTACTATTTCCATAGGTCAGAAGTCTGGCAAATTTTAGTTAGGTCCTCTGCTCAGGGTATGCTGGAGCTGAAATCAAGATGTCAGCTGACTATGCCCTTATCTGAAGGCTGGGCTAGGGAAAGACTTGCCTCCAGGCATCCTCAAGTTTACTTCCCTGTGGCTCTATGACTGAGGTCCCCATTTTCTTGATAGCAGTTGGTCAGGTTGTTCTCAGCTACTTTTAGGTCACTTTGGGGCCCTTGTCATGGGTCTCTCTCCACAACATGGCAGTTGGCTCTTACAAAGGCAGCAGGAGGGCTTCTGTTACAGTTTTTGGTCTTTTAAAAGGCTTATCTGATTTAAGTCAGGCTTGCCCAGAATAAATTTCCTTTTGATTAACTAAAAGTCAACTGATTAGGGACCTTAAATACATCTATAAAATCTCTGCCATATAACATAACATAAAAGCATTGAAGTGACATTATATCATATTCACAGCTTCTGCCTTCACTTAAGGGGAGAGAATTATACAAAATGTGTGCACCGGAGGGTAGGAATACTGGAGGACACCTTAGAATTCTGTCTACTACAAGTTATTATTTTTAAAATGACAGAATTTTAATATTTAAAAAATCCTGGTATTGAGTTCATCGATATTAAATTATTTTCTCTACCTTTTATATTTTAAATTTTTCATAACTTTTTAAAAAGATCTAAAAAAAAAAAATTAAAATACTTAAGTCTTTATCAATCTATACATTCATGGATTTGCAGCAGCTAAATTAAAGAAATACAGACATTTAAAATATTGGAAGTTTATTTATCTGGAAGTCATTAAACCTAAATTGTTGGCCTTTCTTACACTAGATATCAAATTCAAAACATGAAAGAACAGGCTAAGTGCTGTGGCTCAAGTCTGCAATCCCAACACTTTGGGAGGCCAAGGTAGGAGGATTGCTTGAGTGAAGGAGTTTGAGATCAACCTGGGTGACAATGGGAGACCTTGTCTTTAAAAACAAACAATCCACTAAAGCACCAATGTGACAAAATACTAAGAATTCATAATGCAAAGCAACATTTGTTGCAATAAAAGCTATTGTTTTCTGAATACACAACAAATTTCTATAAATTTAGTGGTTTAAACAACATACATTATCTCACAGTTTCTGTGGGTCAGGAGTTTGGATACAGTTTAATTGAATTCTGTACTTAAAGTCTCAAAAGCTGCAATCAAGGTGCTGGTTGGGACTGGATTCCCATTCAGATCCCTGCTGGGAAAGGATCTGCTTCCAAGCTCCCCCAGGTTGTTAGCAGAAAAAATCACTTCCCTGTGACTGTAGGAGTCACAGCAGCTTGCTTCTTCAAAGTCAGCAAAGGAGAGACTCTAGAACGAGTCTACTAACAAGATGGAGGCTTTTGTAACATCATATAATCACAGCAGTGACAGTACATCACCTTTGCCATAATCTGCTGGTTAGAAGCAGTCACAGGTCCCACCTACATTCAAGGGGAGCAGATTGCACAAGGGAGTGAACACCATTCCTTCTATGTAGGTTTTGTGCTGAAGCATTGATAATTTTGAGGATATTCATTTCAAAAAAGGAAGACGCCTGTGTAAGTGAGGGGCACTGAAGCTTAAGCTTCAAAAGCTTTATGATAAATCTGCCTCTAAATCATGATATTTCAGTAAAAAATAGAAAAGTTTCCTTTTCCTTATGAAACTGAAAACTTTAATACAAATAAGAACTTCAGATACAGAGAAATCAAACCTAGAAAATGTTAGTGGGGGAAAATATTTTAAGTGAACTGTTTATCTAGGAATTTAAACTCTATATCCAACAAAGACATAAAATTATTAAATAAAACTATACCATCAAGTTTTACTACAAGGATAGAACAAAATCATACAGTTCTAAATTTATATTATAGATCTAAAACCATAACATTATTTATAGTTCTAAAACCATAACCTTCCGAGATTATTCCCAATTAAGAACATAGCCATTGGACAGTCTCTGTCAATTTTTAAATTTAATGATATTTTAAATTTTCACAAAGAAATTCTTTAAGCAACCAAACATATAACATTAGGTAAGGCTGTTTTTTCTAAAATCAATGTCCAACATAAGCACACAAACCACAGAATAATTTGAAAGGTGTAGTGCTTTCTAAACAAGCTGGCTCAGTAATATCACATACCTGTTCTATCATATGATACAAGTTTAGCTTTCCTAACTTTGGGACAAGCATGAGTTTGGTCCTTTTTCCGCTTTGATTTCCCCTTTTCCTTATGGGAAGCTGGTTCTGGAGCAACTATACGTTGTTGAGTAATACTTTCTTTAAGGTAATCTGAAAATAAAACCATTATGAATTGATTAACTAGATTCCAAGTTTAGAAATAAGTTTTAATACTCACAGTTCTGTGACTGATGTTGTAAGTTCCTGTCTGCTTTACTTTGAAATGAGGATTGTCATAGTAAGAACCTCATAGGATTGTTAAAATAATTAAATTTGTTAATACATTTAAAGCACATAGTAAGTACTTACTAAGGCAAATGTTAATTATTGATTTTATTATTATACTAAATCTTTAAAGTCTGAATCCTCATATAAAATGAATACGGAGAAGGACCCTTTTATCAACTATAATTTAGTATCTAAGAACAGAAAATATTTAGATATAAACACAGAAAAGTAACAAAGAACCTATTTCTCATTTCCTCTGTGGTTTATCTAATTGATAGATTTCCAACACATAGATGAATGGGGAGATTATTGAAAATAGGACCTTTAAGAAACAAATTTTACTTATTTTCCTTATTTAACAAACATTTATGTAGTTCAAGGCATTATGCTACAATCTAGTCGGGGATAAGACTCAATAATTACAAACAAAATGAAAGGATTACAAATGAAATAACCACTAAGTTATATTTCAGTCATAGTCCTAATTCAAAGGAGAGAGAGATAATTTCCCACTGTACAAGCACAGGAGACCACACACCTTTCCTGTTCCAAGGGATCAAATGTTGAAAGATGGTGAGGTTTTTAATTTTAAAACACCACTGCACTCCAGCCTGGGTAACAGAGAAAGATCCTGTCTCTAAATAAATAATAGATAGATAAATAAATAAAATAAAAATCCTACTCCTTTGAAGCATATGTCTTTTGGTTGGTTGCACCATACTCTTCCATTCTTCATTGACATGTACCATTTGCCTGGAAATGCAATGAATCTGGAACTTGGGCTCCAGGGAGAGCCTGCTTTCTCCTATTAAATCTGCCATCATGTGGATGACTTCAGTGTCCATGAATTAAGACCTGTCTAAGAACCATCCACCCCTCCCCATTTTCCAGAAGTCCATTTCAACCAACTACATCCAAAATTACGTCACAGTGCTTGCCATCACTTGCCTTCTAACCTTCCAGCTTGCTTAATACTTCCAACATTACTATTCCTGAACTTCATCAGGACCTCCAGTTCATTGTCCCATTACTTTCTTACAGTTCATCATCCCTCTATTTTAATCCATGCTTTATTTTATTCTATTTTATTTTTTACACAGTTTAGATTATCTTTTCTTTCCACAACCCTTTGCCAAGATCCTAAACTCCCTCTTTCTTTTGGTGTCACCTAGATGGCAAAACACTAGCCCTGGATAAACCAAACCCTATGTGTTCTCCATGCCTATATCTGCAGATTCCAGAGCTATTCGAGAAAGGCCCACAACTAGTTGGATTGGTAATCTGCAAATTCGTTTTAATTAACTATCGGTGGACCCTAGACACAAACTCGAAATCCTATTGCTTGTCTGGTTAACTCGCACTTCTCCCTTTTCAATGACTATTCCAGATTTTCTTCATCCTTCTCAAATCTCTTTTATCTTCCAGTCTCTCTCCTTCAACTGATCTCCATAACCACTTTCCAAGAAACATAAAAAGCATCAGTTAGGAATTCCTTCAATTTGCATTGTCAAACAAACCAAGCAACCCACATTTGTAAAAGAGGTGTCAGGTTTTCTTCTCATCCAAGACCAATCCTTTCCACCTTTTGTTTAGATCCCATCTCTTCTTCCTTGCACTAGGTATTCCTTTTTCTCTTTTGCATGTCGAAGTATCTCCCACTTTAAATAAAATCCATTCTTTAGCTATAACTTCCCTAGTTATCAAACTTGCCTTTTTTCACAGCTAAACTTCTCAAAAGAGTTGCATATAGTCACTATTTCCTCATTTGCCATCCATTTCTTAATCCATTCCAGTCTGACTACAGAACTCCACCAAACAGCACTCAAGTGACCATATTCTTGAGGTCAGTGAATTCAACGGACATTTTCTAGTCCTCTTTTTACATATCAGTGTTATCTGACACTTTAGACCATTTCTTCCTTTTTGATACAGTTGTTTTCTTTGACTTCTGTGACACTGCAACATCATTCTCTTTCTTGTCATCCTATTTAGACTAACTCTGACCAATCTCATGTCTTTAGCAATTGACCTCCTTATTCTGGCTTGTAATTGTTGTAGTTTCTTGGCCCTGTTTTAGTCTCACGTTTTACACTCTCCCTAGGCAATCTGACCCATGGCCACTTGCTTAAACTTCCAGTCACATGATTACCCCCAAACATATCATCTCAGCCTTGGCTTCTCTGAGCTCCTAGCACTTATATTCAACTACCTCCTAGACATCTCCCCTGGGATGTACCAAAGGTATTCCAAATTCAACATGTCCAAAATTGAACTCATGATCCCACAAATCTTGACCTTTTTGTAGGACTTCCTAGCTTAGTGAATGGTACCACTATTCATTATATTAAACAATCCAGAAGCCTAGGTATTATCTTTGACAACTCCCTCTCTCTCATCATCAGAATATTTGCAGCCTCTTAACTGGTCTCCATATATCAATTATTGCTCCTCTTCAATCTATTCTTCAATACACAGCCAGAATTATCTTTGCAAAACAGAAATTTGATCATGTTAACTCCTTGCTTAAAACCTTTCCATGACTCCTATCTTCGAAGCATAATGACAAAAATCATTAAAATGCCAACAAGTCCTAGCTTTGCCCAACCCTTGTATACCTATCCAGCCTTATATTTGTGTCCTCTCTCTCCTGAGAAAAATAGAATGAGTCAGAATACTCCTTCTTCTTTTCACTGTGTTGGAAGATAAGCTTTGTCAGGTCTACAAACACTTAGCTATAAGATTCACATACTCCCCCTGGTTTAATCTGTCAGAGTAAAACATTCTGACCCAATGATGAGCAGAAGTTCTGGAGTTCAGATCTCTTCAGGAAATGAAATGTACTCACCTATAGGCAGAGGATGAAGACAATTGCAGAAATATCTAGCTACTGTTTGTAGTAGGTATTTCTTAGATGATATAGGAGGAAATGCAGCCATGCTTCACTTAATGATGGAAATAATTCTAACAAATGCATCATTAGGTGATTTTGTCATTATGCAACATCATAGAGTGTATTTACAGAAACCTAGATGGGATAGCCTCTATCCACCTAGGCTATACGGTATAGCCTACTGCTCCTGGGCTGCAAACCTATACAGCATGTTGCTACACTGAAGACTGTGGACCATTGTGACCTAATGGTAAGTATTTGTGTTTCTAAACATAGAAGAGCCACAGTAAAAATACAGTATTATATTATGGAACCACCATCTATATTCAGTACAACATTGCCCAAAAGGACATTATGCAGTAAATGGCTGTCTATTGTTATTAAAAATAATAAAAATTTGGTTTATCCCAGAGAGAAGAAAAAACACAAATTTTGGCAGACCCTAAAACCCCAGAGAAACAATATTTAAAGCAGCGGCCCCCAACATTTTTGGCATAAGGGACTGATTTCATGGAAGACAATTTTTCCACAGAGGGGGAGGGAGGCAAGCATTAATTTCTAATAAGAAGTGTGCAACCTAGATCCCTTATAAGAAGTTCACAATAGGGTTCGTGCTCCTATGAGAATCTAATCCTGCCGTTGACCTGATACAGGACAGAGCTCTGCTCACCTGCCCACTGGTCACCTACTGTTGTGCAGCCTGGTTCCTAGCAGGCCACGGACAGGTACTCATCTGCAGTCTGGGGACTGGGGACCCCTGATTTAAAAAGTAGACTGAAAACTAAAACTCTATTAAAGAGACTGAAAAAGAGCAGATAGAAAAGTAAAAAGTGAGTAGTTTTCCTTGAAAGTCAGGGGCTCAAGCCTGTAATCCCAGTACTTTGGGAGACTGAGGTGGAAGGACTACTTGAGTCCAGGAGTTCAAGACCAGTCTGGGCAAAAGAACAAGACCCTGTTTCTAAAAATAAGAAGAAGAAGAAGAAGAAATCAAAAATATTAGCCAGGCATGGTGGTGCAAATCTGTAGTTCCAGCTACTCGGGAGGGTGTGGCAGAAGGATTACCGGAGCCCAGGAAGTTGGGGCTGCGGTGAGCTGTGATTATACCACTGCACTCCAGCTTGGGCGACGGAATGAGACACTGACTCAAAAAAAAAAAAAGGTCAAGGAAAAAATAAAAGAAATAAATAGTCAAAGAATAAAACATTGCAGAGCAGTACCGGAACATAAAAATTATTAGATTTATAAATTAATTATTTTTGTAAAGTTTTAGCCATCGGGAGGTATCTGGTGACCTTGGGAGGGTCTTATTGGTAGAAAGAAGGAGGCAGAATCCAGGCTGAGGAATAAATGAGTGGAGACAGGAAGTCTAGGCCCCTCTTTTGAGAAGCCTGATCATAGAGTGGTAACTGCGAAAACGGAAGGGAGGACTAGAGCTATTTTGTTTAGTTTCAGATGGTTAAGCACATAGCATGTTTATGTACTGACAGAAAAGAGTCAGTAGAAAAGAAGATATAAGGGAAGATAACTGATGAATTCCAGGTTCCTCAGCACATGGCAGAAAAGGAGTTCCAAAATGAGATGGTGGGATTTACCTTAAAGGAGAGGAGGCACAGTTATCCCCTGAGACAAGTACTGCAGATGGGGCTGAGGATATAAAAGAGCTGGATAAAAAAGGAAGTTGTGGTAAAACTACATAAATACTGAAAATGGTAGAATTGGGGCAAAGGAGAAGGAGAGAAGACTTTAAAAATAGATGTATGTGGAGAAGTAATCAGAAACTAGTAGATAAGAAAGAGCAAAGTCTCAACACAGCCAGAAGGGATTGAGACTTAAAAAAAAAAAAAAAAAAAAGATGATATGCATGAAAGAGTGATGTAAACTGTAAATTGCTATAGATATTTTGGCTTTTCAGTGGCATTAGTGATATTGCTGTTCCTTTTATTATTATCATTATTTATATGACGTTCTCTTTAGAAAACAAGGTTTGTATTTGAACACACTGCTAATTGCTATGATTAATGAAATCAGTAAAATGCCAAACCTTATATTTTGAAAGTGGATCTAGCATTTCAATATATTTTACTTGTTTTCTTAACTCGATGCTATGAAAAACTTACTTCCATTTTCATAAAAGAAAACATTGATCAGCATACCTGGATAATAATCTTGATAAATTTCTTCTGTTTTCTCTGACTTCAAGGATTCAGAGAATGTTCTGATTGTTTTATTCTTCAACGTTTCCATTTTTGCTGTTTCTGGTTGGTTCTCTGATGTTTTAACATCTTTGTATTTTTGCTTTTCATATTTTGAAAGTCTAATATGAGAAAGAAAACAATTCTAAGAAAATAATCACACCAATAAAATATTCACCTGTTAGCATATGACCTAAAATTTCATAATTATAATTGAAACAGCTTCTTGGGTTTAATAAATTCTGTGGTTAACATTTCTATAACTTTAAGACTCAATATTTATTCTGTACTTTACAATACAATATCTATCCTTTCAAGTAATTTTTGATAGGCACTTTTAAGAGCAGATTTGGAATATCTAACTGGTTTTGGCATAAGAAAAATAAATGCTATAAATTGTCATCGAAGATTTAAAGCTGGAAGAGACTTAAGCATCTTGATCTCATTTTAGAAGATGAAAAAATGTTACCCAGTTAAGTTTGTGGCAGAGTGAAGTCAGAAGACAATTTTCTGAAATTTCATACTCATATATTGCTTCCCTTTATGAAAAAGAAAAGCCAAACAACAAAACCCAATTCATATCAGGATAAAAACAAAGATCTTCTCACAGTATATTAGCCAACTGTCTATTGTTAGAAATACCTTTTCCTAAGAACAGAATCCAAAATCACTACCTCTAATCGACTTGTATGGTAGGCTATATTTTTACAAGGCAGAGGAAATTTAGGGTTTGCAAAACCTTATATTTACTTCTCGGGGGAAAAAGTACTTTACTTATTGGTTTGTTATGCAAAAATACTTAATCAAATGAATAAGAAGATAATGCCTCTTTCAGAAGACAAATAAGATACAATTTCTTGAACTTGTTTATGGACGGTTATTATGTATTATTTAAAATATTTGCCCTTTGTGCACTTTGGGAGTTCCCATTTGGCTTAACAGTAGTATTAAACAGCTTGAAAAGTTTCCTCTTCATTAAAATATTTATCTATATCCTTTTCTCTTTTGTTTTGTTCCGAAACCCATTTGTCCACTTTTTAAACAATACCTAGTAGTTATTTACACATTAGCACAGTAATTTTTTTTTATCATCTTATATCTCTAGTTTGGATTTATCTTTTCACTTTCTCGATGTCTTGATAAGCAGAAACTCTTAACTTTAATATAATTTATCTTTGTCTTTATGATCTGTGTATTTTATGTCTTTTTAAATAAATCTTTCCTTACTCCAAGATGATGACAAAATTATCTTATATGTTTTCCTAACAACTTAAAAATTTTGCTTTTCACAAGTCTTTTGATGTATACATAAGTCCTTAAATCCTTAATTCGGGGTATGGTGTTAAGAGGCAGTCGCAATTTCTCCCCATGCCTCCACCCAATATATACAATTGTTGCAGTACCATTATTGAACACCCACTCCTTTTCTCACTGACCTATAACACCAAGTCTGGCATCACTCAAAATGCATGCAGTTGTCTGTCCATGTGTTTATTCTTATTTGTCTACACTTGTTGCTATATCATGTATCATACTGCCTTAATTGCTATAGCTTTATAATAAGTTTTGATAGCTGTAGGTCAAGACTCCCATAATTTTTTCTTTCTTTTTTTTTTTTTTCCATCAACAGCATTAAAGGAGTTTATTGATATTTTAGAGACATAGGCACTATCACAGCCCCATGGAATTCCGATCTCCTGAAAGGGATCCCAGTTCTTGTATTTATCTTTTTATTTTTATGTTTATTTTTTATTTTAAAGATGTGGAGTAAAATTCAGGATTAGCTATACAAGTGGTCATCATACAGGTAAAGTTTGGGCCTCCCTTTGGTCCCCACTGTGCCTGGTTTGAGATCGGATATCCTTATTGATACTGTGCCCTATCTCCCACCCATTCACCCCAGCAGTATCCCACTACTGCCAATCCCTTTCTTATACTATTATGGCAAATGTTCAGGGTCCATTTATGAGTGAGAACAAGTGGTACTCTATTCTTTGTTTCTGTGATAGATCACTGAGCGTGATAAACTCTAAATTCATCCAAGTTGCTGCCAAGTACATATGCTTTTCCTTCTTCATGACTGTGTAATATTCCATTGTGTATATGTACCACTTTTTTTTTTTAACCCAGTCCAGTTTCAGTGGGCAGCACGGTTGGTTCCATGTTTTTGCTATTGTGCTGCAATAAACAAGCGCAGGTATCCTTTTTGTAGAGAGACTTGAGGTCCTCTGGGTATATTCCCAGTAGGAGGATTGCTGGATCATATAGAGGTCAGTGTCCATTTTTTTTAGAAATTGCCACACTGTTTTCCAAGGAGGTTGCACTAGTTTGCGTTCTCACCAGTAATATAGAAGCATTCATTTTTCTCTGCATCCTCGCCAGAATCTGTTGTTTGTTTTATTATTGATGGCCATTCTTACTGGGGTTAGGTGGTTTTGATTTGCCTTTTTCTGATGATTACTGAGACTGACCACTTTTTCACGTACCTGTTGGCACCCATATACCTTCTTTTGAGAAGTGTCTATTCATGTCTTTTCCCCACTTTTTAATGGGGCTATTTGTTTTTTTCCATTTGGCATGTTTGAATTCCTTGTAGATCCTGGATGTTAGGCCCTTGTCAGATATACTGTTGGCAAATATGTTTTCAATATTCTGTGGGTGGTCTACCCACTCTCTTGATGGTTTCTTTTGCTTGGCAGAAGCTATTAAGTTTGATGACGTCCCACTTGTCTATCTTATCTCTTATGGTCTGGGCACTTGGGATTTTTATCAGGAATTGATTGCCAGTTCCAATTTCCATAAGGGTGTCTCCTGCATTTTCTAAAGTTCCTATAGTTTTAGGTTTTATGTTTAGGTCTTTGATCCATTTAGAGTTGATTTTTGTGTACGGTGAAAGGTAGGGGTCCTGTTTGGATCTTCTGCATGTGATCAGCCAGTTTTCCCAGCACCATTTACTGAACAGGTTTTCCTCTCCCCAGTGGTTGTTGGTGGAGGCTTTGTTGAAGACGAGTTGGTTGAGAAATTGAGGTTTTGCTTTCAAAATCTCTCTCCTGTTCCATTGGTCCATATGTCTTTTCTTGTACCAATACCAGGCTGTTTTGATTATTGTGTGTTTTCAACTTTGCAGTCACAAACTTATAGTAAAATTTAAAGTCTGGATGTGTGATACCTCCCACTTTGTTTCTTTTGCTGAGGATTGGTTTGGCTATTTAAGTATTGTCATTTCCAGGTCTGAGAAGAATGATGTTGGTAATTTAATGGACTTGGGGTTAAATCTGTAGTTTACCTTGGGTCGGATGGACATCTTAACAATGTTGATTCTTCTAATCCATGAGCGTGGAATATTTTTCCATTTGTTTGAGTCTTCTTGGATTTCTTTTAGAAGTGTTTTGTAGTTTTCATTGTAAAGGTCTTTAACTCTCTGGTTAGGGAGATGCCAAGGTATTTCTTTTTGTGTGTGTGGCTATTGTGAATGGGACCATGCTTTTTATTTCATTCTCTGCCTGCTCGTTGTTGATGTATAAGAATGCAACTGTCTTTTGCACATTTATTTTGAACCCGAGAGTTTGCCAAAGTCCTTTATCAGTGAAAGCAGATTTTTGACAGATTCTCTTGGGTTTTCAAGGTATAGGATCATATCATCAGCAAAGAAGGATAACTTAACTTCCTCTTTTCCTATTTGTATATCCTTGATTTCCTTCTCTTGCCTAATTACTCTAGCTAGGACTTCCAACAAAAGATTGAACCAGAGAGGTGAGAGTGGGCAGCCTTGTCTTGTTCTGGTTCTCAGGAGAAATGTTTCCAGTTTCTGTTCATTTAGCAATATGCTAGCTATGGATTTATTGTAGATGGTGCTTACTATTTTGAGGTATGTTCCTTCTATACCTAGGTGTTTGAGGGTTTTTATCAAGAAGCCGTGCTGAATTTTATCAAAAACTTTTTCTGCGTCTAATGATATAATCATGTGGTTCTTGTTTTTACATCTATTAATGTATTTAATTACATTTATGGTCTAGTGGATGTTGAATCAACCCTGCATCCTGGGGATGAAGCCTACTTAGTCATGGTGGATGATTTTTGAGATGTGTTACTGAATCCGATTTGCTAGAATCTTGTTTAGAATTTTTGCATCTGTGTTCTTTAGAAATATTGGCCTGTAGTTCTCTTTCTTTATTGGATCTTTATCTGGTTTGAGTATCAGTATAATGTTAACTTCACAAAATGATTGGAGAGAATTGCTTCTTTCTCAATTGCCTTGAATACTTTCAATAGGATTGGTATCCGCTCATCCTTGTATGTTTTGTAGAATTCCACTGGAAAGCAGGCTGGTTCAGGACATTTTTTTGTAGGTAGTTTTCTTATGACAGAATCAATTTCCTGGGTTGTTATTGGTCTATTTAGTGTCTCAGTGTCTTCTTGTTGCATCCTTGGGAGGTTGTGTGATGTCAGAAAGTCCTCCATTTAATTTAGGTTATCAAGTTTGTTTCCATATAGGCGTGTACAGTAATCTCTGATAATCTTTTGTATTACTTTGGAGTATGTTGTGATTTAATCCTTTGCATTTCTGTGTTTATTGGGGCTTTTTCTTGGTCATTCTGACTAGGAGTCCATCAATCTTATTTATTCTTTCAAAGAACCAGCTTTTTGTTTTGTTTTGTTGATTTTTTTTTTCTTATGATATTTTTGTCTTCTGTGTCCTGTATTTGGGCTCCTACTCTGGTGATCTGGATTCTTCGGCTACAGTTAGGGTTTTGGTACTCTTGTCATTCCAGCTCCCTTAGGTAATTTGTTAGGCTGTTAACTTGTGATCTTTCCATTTTCTTGATGTGTGTTTGTAGAGGTATACATTCCCTCTTAGAACTGATTTCATGATATCACAGAGGTTTTGGTAGGATGTTTCTTCATTTTCATTTGTTTTCTGAAATCTTTTAACTCTGTTTTCATTTCTGTGTTGACCCAGAAGTCATTCAGCATTATGCTGCTTAGTGTTCATGTCTTTGTGGGTTTTAAGGGAATTTTGTTGGTGTTGCTTTATTTCACTGTAGTCTGAGAAGGTGCATGGCAGTATTTCAACCTTATGAAATTTTTTAATGCTTGATTTATGACTGAGGATGTGATTGATCTTGGAGAATGTTCCATGTGGTAATGAGTAGAATGTATATTCTGTGGTTGTTGGGTGGAGTGTTCCATAGGTATCTCTTAAGTCCATTTGGTCAAGCATCAAGTTGAGGTTATATATCTCTTGGTTGATTTTTTTGCCTCAATGATCTATTTAGGGTTGTTAGTAGGGTATTTAAGTCCCCAGCTATAATAGTGTTAGAGTAAATATCTTTCTTTAGTTTACTTAGTAGTTAGTAGTTGTTTTATAAAAACTGGTGCTCCTGTGTTAGCTGCAAATATGTTTAGGATGGATATTTCTTGTTGATGGATTGAACCTTTATTATCATGTCATGTCTTTCCATATATTTTTTAAGATTTGATAGCTTAAGTTTGCTTTGTCTGATATTGAGATCATGACTCCTGCCTTATTTTGTGATCCGTTAGCCTGGAAAATCATTTTTCCATCCTCTAACTTTGAGTCTGTGTGCATCCCTTGTGGTGAGATGAGATTCCTGCATGCAGCAAATTATGGGGTCATGGTTTTGTTTTGTTTTTTAATCCAGTTTGCCATTCTGTCTTTTCTTTGGTGCATTTAGTCCATTCGTGTTCAGGCTGATTATGGAAACATGAATGTTTATCTCTGTCATGAGATTCTTATAAAGTTTTTTCTTTGTTTGCTTGTTTACTTTTAGATTTGGGTTGATGTATGTGTGTGTTTTCAACTTTGCAGTCACAGCGTATTCTCTGTTGATTCTGTGTTCTGCTGCTCTTTTGGGAAGTGCATGGTCTTTCTTTTTTTTTTTCTTCTTTCTTTTGTGCTTAATACCTTTTAAAGCATCTCCTGTAGAGTTGGTCTGGAAGCTGCATAATCTCTAGGGATTGAATGTCTGGGAAAGATTTTAGTTCTCCATTGCTGATGAAGCTAAACTTGGTTGGGTAGGAAATTCTGAGTCGAAATTGTTTATCTTTGAGGACTTTGAATAATGGACTCCAGTTCCTTCTAGCTTGTGGTGTTTCTGCCTATAGGTCTGCTGCTATTTTGATTGGTTTTCCCTGGTAGGTATTCTAACCTTTCTCTCTTGCTGCCTTTAGGATATTTTCTTTTGTGCCTACTTTGTGTAGGGAAATTTTATGTGTCTAAGGCTTGGTTTTCTCATTTGATGTGTGTGAGTTTCTCTGTATCTCTTGTGTTTGGATGGTCACATCTCTTGGTGAGATGGGGAAAGTTTTCTTGGATAACCTCCTGGAATACTTGTTCCAAGGTATTCTCCATTTCCCTTTCTTCTTCTGGGATATCAATCAGGCATAGGTTTGGTCTCTTGATATAATCACATATCTCTGGAGGCTTTGTTCTTTCTTTCTGAGTTTGCTTTGTATGTTTTTTACAGATTGGGTTAATTCTATGTTTTGATCTTCAAGTTCTGAGATTCTTCTGCTTGACTAATTCTGCTTTCCATGCTTGTCATCCTGTTATTTATTTCCTATATGATTTTTTTATGGCCAAATTTATGCTACAATTTATTTCAGTATTGCATCTTGTCTTTCTTGAGTCTTGCATCTTGTCTTTCTTGAGTCTTAGTCACTTGTTCCATCCATTCCCTAATCCCTATTGTATTTGGGGGCTAGTCATTGGTGACTTCCATTGTTTGGGCTCTGAAGTCTGATTTATCAGGCATTTTCTCTTTGTAACACTGGGAATTACCTGTGTTCCTCTGTTGATTTTTCCTCATTTGTGATAGATCTTTTTCTTTTCGCTTTAGTTATGTTATTCAGTGGCAGTGGGAGAGGATTTCACTGCTGATATTTGCTCAGTCTACTATTCTTCCCTGATCAGGGCTGTGAATTTGTTCTATTTTGAAACAGTGCTGTGGGTGGGAAGCTTTGGTGGCTCTTATACTTTTGAGCATCTAATAAAGTGGAGGCTGGGGAGCTAGGATTCAGAAACTACTTGCAATTCATAATGTTCACTGATTGTGGTTTGGGTTCCCTGAGATTCGTTCCCCACTACCACTCTATTTGATGATGCAATGGGTATGTGCATGTACTCCCTCAGTCCAAGTTATAGTATCAGCAATGAGGAGAACAGAGAAAAGTAGAATGAGATGAGCAAAAAATTTTAAATAAATAAAAAAATAAAAGAAACAGAACAAGAGCAGAAACCAAAGTAAAAAGACATTTAAATACACACACACACACACAAACACACACACACACACCAAAACAAACTGGAATAACAACAAAGCAAAACAAAACAAAAAACAGGATAACCAAACATACACACACACACACACACACACACACACACACACACACACACACAAAACTCAAAATAAAAGGAGAATAAAAATAAAAAATAAGAATTCAAATTGAATCCTTACACATGCATTTACATACACATTGAACAAGAAAAAGAGAAAAAAAAAAAAACCCTGAAAGATGAACACTTAGTCCTTCACATATGCACATGAACAGAAAGCAAAATAAAAAGAAAGAAGGGGAAAAAGCGGGGGAGAATGAGGGGATGCAGATTGAACGCTCACATGCACATTCATGCACAAAGGAAAAATATTTTTAAAATCAACAAACACAGATGCAAAAAAACCCTGCCTTCTTGTGGTAGATTCTGTAATTGTTCCTCTCAGCTGCCCCTCTGCTGTCTCCTGCAGAGCTTCAGCCTCATTCACAATCTCCCCAGTGTCCAGCCCAGGGAAGCAGGAGGAGGCAGTGGTTGTGGGTGGAGTTTCAGTTCTTTCCTCCTACTCTAGTATGGTCAGAGACTCCCCTCCAGCAGGGAAATGCAGGATTGTCTCTTCCCCAGTACTGGCAGGGAATGCCCCAGACAGACTTATCCTGGAGTAGAGTCCTCCTATTGTGGTTGACGTCCAGGCCCCACATTATGGTTCATCCCTCTCAGTCTTGCTTCAGTTGTGTGGGTCTGATGTTCAGAGGATTGCTGGGGAGGAGGTGGTTGGGTCAGCCCCAGACTCACCACTGATCTCTTTGGAGGTCTTCCTCATCCTTTTCTGGCCACACTCTTTGTCCTGTAGCTGAATCAGGGTAGAGGGTAGGACACCTGAGACTCAGCACTTGTCCTATCCCTCCAGAGTTTGTGCTTTTGGGATATTCCCTCTGGATCATGCTCACCCCCTGAGCAATTAATCTGCCAGTCACAGAGATTGGGTCGAATCTGTCTATCCGTGGTGAGCAAGCCAGAGCACTTTCCTGCCCGGTTTTAAAGATGGTGGTAGTGTGCCTCTTTCATCTTCTCCAGTGGGGCTCTGCCTCTGGGCTCCCTCAGTGGGCTCCCTCAATGTACTCCCTCCACAGTTCTTGCTGCCAGAGTCTGGCCAGGTGCTGCAGTGGTGAGCCAGAGCCTGGAGGTGGCAGTCTTTACTGGCAGCTTCTTCTTAGGAAGTTGATTGTTGATTTTTTAAAAATGGCATTTGATTTCTGCACCCCAGAAAGTGCTGGGGACCAAACAGAGCAGTTGCAGCACCAGTCATTTCACCAGGAGAGCCCTGGCCACTTGTTCCCAAGTCCCTACTCAGTCAGTCACTCACACACCCACTTACTCACCAACACATACACAAACTTTACCATACTCTCACTCACACTTGTACTCACTTATTCCAACTGATGCTGCCACCATCTTCCTGAGACTCCAATTTCTTTTTCTTAAGGAGTGCTTTGCATATCATGGTCCTTTGTTTTTCTATATAAATTTTGTAGCGTTCTCAATTAAACTTTATAATTTTCTCTATAAAGGTCAGAATCACATCTTTTTAAAAGGTAATGTTTCTAAGTACCTTAGTTTTTATTACTATTGCAAATAGTCCTTTTCGCTTTCCTGAAATTCCTCAGTTGTTGATTAATTTCTCATACCCATCAATCTCCCTGTCACTTTTTTGGCCTGTCCAAGACTGGTCTGGGGGAAGGAGCCAGCAACCAGTGTTAATTTGTCTGTCTTGTCAGGAACCACTCCCTGAGAAGCTAAGGTTTTTCTAAATTCTAGAACCCTCTACCAATCCTCATATGATACTTTAAATCTTTCACTGTTGGATGGCTTACCATTATCCATATACTGCTGAAAGCTTATATTAGGAAAAAAAAACTTCATTATACCATATTTTTACCTTGGTTTTGTGCTTTCCTCTTTGTCCATCTCTTGATTCACACTTTTCAAGTCAATGAAGATAAAAGTCTCTGTATGTATTTCTGAGTGAAACTATGAAACGACTGGCTGTAAAAAGTGCATTCACGTTATTATCTTTAATATAAAAGACAATTTGACAACTGTGCTTATTGATATTCAGAATTGCATATATAGTTCCCAACTTCTCACTAGGCTTAATACTGTATCCTGATTACCTTCAAATGTTTCTTGTGCATAGTATAATTCCCAAACCCTCCACTATGCTAGTTTCCCTCCTCAGGGACATCTCTATATTGTCTAACTTTGTCTCTATAGCAATATTTTTCTTCTTATGTTGATGAGCTTATGTACATACAATTTTAGTTTACATTAAATTCCATATTAAAGATAATGATATGTTTAAGATCACTTCCTTAGGGAATATCATTTTTTAAAAATTAGGATAGTCAACTGATAGCTGAAACTGTTGAACTAGTTTCACCATTCACTAAGAACTCAAATGCTGCATTCATACACTAATAGCCTTCCTCAAATAGAATAGAACAGAACAAAAGGGAGTGAATTTTAAAATATAAAAATGGGAGTCTCTTTCTGATTACTGAGGGAAATCTAACAAGAGAGTCTCCAAATGATGTGCTATATGAAAGTTTACTGTAACTGAAGAATTTAAGTCAAAAATTTAAGCCTGGAATCAATGTAAGATAGAAAAAGTTTTAACTGGCAAGTGAGTGTGCTTCAAAAAAAAATCAAATAAGACAGACTGAAATAAGCTAGGAACAAGAGTAGTTCTTACTGAAACAGAAATGCTAGAAATCTGCACATTAAGTATGAAACTGGCAAATACAACATCAATATATTGATGAGACTCAACATGCAAAAAAAGTCCCTATCATGACCCAGAAAGTATCAGGAAAGGCCATAGAAGGATCATTCACTGCAGTCAAGAATAGAAGAATACAACTTTTCCCACCACTTGAGATAAAATAAACAAAACTTAACAGAGATTAAGTCCATTGGATTCAAAAGCATCCCTGAATTAAATCTATTCTGGATTTGAAACTAAGCAGGAATAAGTAAACTTTTTCTGAAAAAGGTAAATATTCCAGGCTTTGTGAGACAAAGAGCAAAACCGAGGATATTACATAGGTACTCATATAACAAAAGAAAACAAATTTCCACAAATGTTTTATTGATGAAATTTTTAAAATGATAATAATCATAATTGAGTATAAGTTTTTATAAAACAGATTTATGGGAAAAAAATAGAATTTTGGGGAGTAGGATAATATGTCACTTAACTGGGATCCAAAGTTAGCATTACCTTTCACTAAATTGGTTGCAAATGTTCACTTATTCGTTCTTAGTTTGTAGATCACACAAAAACAGATGGCAGCTCAGCCTCCCAAGGCGCGGGATTACAGGCTGAGCTACCGAGCCCGGCTTAAAAAATAAATTTCTAAAACATAAGCATACAAAAAGATGCAAATAAAGGACAGGACAAAGGTACACTAAGCAACTACTGAATAAAATAAAAAGATTATAGTTAAATTAAGATATTAAAGCAGAAATAGTTAGTAGATATAAACAGGGTCACTATATAGTAACTAAAGGTTCATTTCACTAGGAAAATAAAGCAGAAGAGTTCTGTACTTAAACCTAACAACGTAGCTTCAAAATCTACAGTATAATGCAATTGTATAACACATAGCATATATTGCAAAAATTAACAGAACCATAAAGAGAAAAAAAATCCTGTATGATAATGGGACATTGTAAAAACATACATCAGTTAATCAGGAAATATCTCTCCTTCCAAAATTAGCAAAACAAACAAACAAACAAAAAGTCTAGTAAGGGGACAACTTTTAACAAACCAATTTAAAGATTTGATTTAATTTATATATTATATACAGATCAAGAAGTAGAGAATATATATATTTTTAAGCATTTTCAAACATGGCATAGCTTGACAATCAACACCTACTGAATCATAATGCAAATCTCAACAAATTTCAAATGATTTATCATCATATATCTCAAATTTTGGGACTGCAATGCAATTAGATTAGAAATAAAGAGATAAATCATGCAACTCCATAAATTTGAAAAGTAAGAGAAATAAGTCTAAGCCTGGCTCGGTGGCTCAGCCTGTAATCCTGCACTTTGGGAGGCTGAGGTGAGTGCATTGCCTGAGCCTATGGGCTCAAGACCCACCTGGGCAACTTGGCAAGACCTCATCTCTACAATAAAAAAAAAAAAAATGAGCCGGGCATGGTAGCGCATGCCTGTAGTTCCAGCTACTTGGAAGGCTGAGGTGGAAGGATTGCTGGAGCCCAGGATGTCGAGGCTGTGGTGACTGGGAGTGGCCACTGCACTCCAGTCTGGGTGACTGAATGAGACTCCAACTCAAAAAAAAAAGAGAAATAGGTCTAAATAACTCATGGTTCAAAGAAATAAATTATAATAGAAATTTCAAAATATTAAGAAAGAAATGCTAAGATACTAAATATTAAAACTTGTGTGGTGCAGCTAAAGTGGTATTCATAGGCAAATACATAGCCTTAAAATGCTTGTACTAGAAAAGGAGAAAGATGATTTAAATTAAGAAGTTAGGAAAAGCAAAACTTTATAAATCCAAAAAAAGCAGAAAGAGATAGAGAAGATCAAAAGAGCTAAATATTAACAAATAGAAAGACCTTATAAAGGTGCCAATTCTGCCAATCAAAGTCTCAACATTTTGTCTTTTGTTTGTTTGTTGTTGTTGTTTAGTTTTAGAAGCCTTTGACAAGGTCTTGATTTCAAAAATTTATATAGAAAAAAATTACATCAAAGTAAAATCTTAAAGAAAAATATTACATAGAAAAATAAAGGTCCAAAAATAGCCAAGACATTTCTGGAAAAAAAAAATAATATGAAGGGAAGTCTAATAGCAGAATTAATAAAAAAAAGTTTTAGTAAGTAAGACATGTGACTAGACAAATTTACAGATAAAATAATGGAAATCAGGAACAGTACTAAATATAAGTGAAACTGATTTATAATAGGTGACATGTCAAATCAGTGGGAAAATTTGAGTTAGGAAAAAAGTCTGAAGGGGAAAAATATGAAGTTGGATTCATTTCTTCATTTACATTAAAAACTAAACAAAACAAAGACAAAATTTTTAGAGTAAGGAAGGACTTAAATGTGAGAAATAGAACTTTAAAATATAATTTAACATTTTTTCTGACCTAGAGTTAAAGATTCATAATCAAGAGTATAATTTAATAAAAACTCTACAACCTAAATTATATTAAAGTGGGACACGGTGAGATGATATCTGCAAAAAAAATGTGTGGTACACAGTCTTCAAAGATAACCAGCATTAATTCCTTCCCTCATTGTACATGCATGTCTCCCCACTCATTAAAGTTGGGTCCATTTCCCCTCCTCTTGAATCCTGGCTGCTGTTAGGGATTTTTTTTTGACCAGTAAAATGCTGTGGAAATAATGTTAGCCAATTCCAGGTCTCACTCTTACAGGACCTGCCAGCTTCCACTTTCCCTTTTGAAGCTGTCTGCTATGTTAGAAGTCTGACTACCCTGAGATGACCATGCTCCAAGTCAGCCACATGGAAAAGTATACGGAAAAGCACTCAAACACCAGACCTATGAGTGAAGCTACCCTATGTCTTCCAGGCCAGCCCCGACAGCAAATGAATGCAGCTACCTGAGTGAGTGACTCAGTGATACATAGATACATAGAGTAGCATAGCCACCCAGCTCAATCTAGAATCATGAGAAAGAAAAAATTCTTGTTGGTTTAAGCCACTCGATTTTAGGGTGGTTTGTTATACAGCAACAGGTAACTGAAATAACATTGAACATATATGTGATAAAGGATTAGTCTCAAAATATAAAAACTCCATAAAAGCAAATCCATAAGAAAAACACACAAAAAATAAATGAAAAAATGACACTTGACAAAATATATAAATGAACAAATGTCATATAGACAAATGTCATGTTTTTCACAGAGGAAGAAGCCAACACAAGAAGTGATGCTCAATATCATTAGTAATCTAGACCATGCAAATTAAGATCACAAGCTGCCATTCTATAATTCAATTGGCAAAAGTTAAGAAGTCTATCACAACCAAGCAAGGAGGGTGAAAGTCAAATATTTCTTAGACATTGCTGGTAGGAGTAAAGAAAACACTCTAGAAAACAGTTTGACATCTGAATACCTTGTAATTCACCAATTCCATTTCTTTTCTTTTTTTTTATTTTTTTGAGTTGGAGTCTCACTCGGTCGCCCAGACTGGAGTGCAGTGGCCACTCCCGGCCACCACAGCCTCACCTGCTGGGCTCCGGCAATCCTTCCGCCTCAGCCTTCCAAGTAGCCGGAATTACAGGTATGCGCTACCACGCCCAGCTGATTTTTTGATTTATTGTAGAGATGAGGTCTTGCTGCCCAGGTGAGTCTCGAACTCAATTCCATTTCTATGTGCCTACACACAGACAAATTTTTCTACTTGTGTAACAGAAGACATTCATAAGAACTTCCACAATATCACTGTGCATAATTTCTAAAAGCTAGAAACAACACTAAAAACTCACCACTAAGAGAATAAATAAATTGTGATTTAGTCATACAATGGAATATTACACCACAGTGAAAATACACCAGGATTAATCTAGTAAAGTATCACTGAGTACAAGTAAAAGCAATTATTAGAAAACTCATTTGGAATACAATTCTTTTTTGTAAACTTTAAAAACAAACTAAAATATATATTTTTTACATGTACATATATGTGGTAAAAACTTTTTTTAATGGCAAGAAAATAAATACAAAATTCAGGAGGAGAAATGGAAGGCAAGGAGATGAAATAAGGAAGAAAAAAGTCCATAGATTAAAAATGATTTGTTAATAGTGTAATGCTTATCTTATGTGGTGAATTTGCAAGTGCTTATTATTTGAACATCTCTTTAGTTAGTTTTAAAAGGGCCATACAAGGATTAATGATGACAGGGTGTAAGAGAAAGGGATTCATATTAATACAA